TCGTGTGATAATCGCAGGGCGTCACGTATCCGGCTTGTCACGGAATCTGGAGACATTGGGCGCCACCGTTGGAAAGATCGCGTCTGGCCACCATAGCCCTGTGCGGTTCGTACGCGGGTGTGGTGGTCGGCATGCCGCTGTCCGGTACTTTAATCGACTGGTTCAGCTGGGAAGCACCGTTTTACGTATATGGTATACATAAAGTTTTAAAATAACAGATTAAAAAGCAACAAAAAATAGGGTTATATGCACCAACGAAATGTTATTTGAAATAATAATAATAAATTCACAAACCACAATTATATGTTACGTATAATTACTTGAATTGAAAGGTACCGATAAACAGTATTTCACAATTGTTAATTTGATAAATTTATCTATATATCATAATATGATAATAATTATATGTAGATGGTTCATATACTCGTATATATATATATTACCACGATATATAATGTTATTTAATGATTACTGCTACCGATAAAATACAGCAACCTAAATACATTTGCGAGGTCATAATAATTTAACACTTATCAGTTAATAACTATTAGTAACTTAAACTAAACTAATATAACATTTCTATATTTTTATTCCAAAATTTTTCTATGTAGCATGAAAAATTCATAATATAGCATAATTATGTTGTGAGATTTAGATGTAAAAAATTGTTATATTATTTCTATCTTRATTTATTTAATTTCTTCGTAATCTATCAATATCTAGATAAAAATGAATTATCTGAGCACAACTAAACTGACAACATAAATATGAAATATGGACATGAATAAAGTATTTCATATGTATACGAATAAAATATGTAATCCATAAAAATAATCGATGTCTAAAACCAGTTGGGTACTATAGTACCGTATACGGGTAAATGATAAAAATTCCGGTACTATACTATCTATGTGATGAAGAATAATGGTCATATTTAAATTTAAAAWTAATTACTGTAATGTATAACACCTCTATTGTATGGTTACATAAAGATGAAACAGAAACATAACACACGTTATACACATTTATATAGATTGTTTAAATAAAATGTCGTATGTATCTGAACGATTTAAATCACATATTGTATAATATCRTTTATTATCAAAAATTAGTGATTTTTATTACAGAATTAAGTTCATTATTATAGGAAATCATCAATTACACAGCTATGGTTATATTATGCATAAATACTTCCTACTCGTCGCTATAAATCGTTTYAGCAATTGTATCCGAGTATTCAAAGATCATGAATTAGCACTTCTTGATACACAAAACATTTTGTATGATTAATTTTCTACATAAATATTTAAGATTAAGATTAATATAATATTTCAAAGCCAGACAGTCTTAAATCTAAAAAAAATCACGAGAGTGAGCACATCATTATAATCTGGGAAAATAAAACTTTTTTCATATAAGTATTGGCGCCCGTGAAATTATAAATGAATTATAAATTATATATAACTATATGTTTATATAATAAAATAATTATATATATATATATATATTTTGGTATAAAAACAACAAAGGTGTAACAACTGTCACTATAATAACAATTGTTGCGTTTCATTTTTCGTTAAGATTTTTTTTCCGCTAACCCCTCAAGAAAGAAGTTTTGCTTCAAAAAATATTGTTCACTTGAAGGAAATTAWCACAGGAATCCAGATCATCATATTACTATGTTCGAAAATGTCGTGTCATAAAGTTGAGTTCTATAAAATTAACTCTTATAAAAATAAATTACTATAAAAGCATTTATAAGTAAAATTATTCCTTTTAAAAGTTATGGATTGTAATTATTAATATCTTGTGTATCAATGACTCATCTCCTCATGAAATATAAGTGTAAATATAACTTGTAAAATTATATTATTTTTATATTTTACACAATATATATTTTGATACCAGTTGATTTCGTGCACTTAGTCACCCATTAAAAATTACAATTCTATATGAATAATATGTTTTATAAAATCAAATGAGTTTAAGAATTTAATTTGATAAATGATAACTTCGTCTTTATTCATTATAGAGTCGATGAATTCATTGAGTTTGATTTTTTACTATCATTCYATCCTACATGAAAAACATGATAATTACAAAAATGCATACTACCTATATAGAGGACATTTTTAAATCAACATAATATTTCTGTATAAACTATATGTCCTATATAAACCGTTATTATGTAATTATTTTGTGGTTTTGACGTTAAAGTAAGTATGAAACACTTTAATAACACGTGACTTTTGCAATAAATATTTCTTTAAAAAAAGAGACTTTTATAACAAATGATTTTTATGAGACTTCATTTTAAGAGACTCAACTTTATAATACACGTATTTCAAACACTTGAGTTGTTTTCAGAATATAGAGTTTATTTATGTGTTTTATGTTTTTTGCATT